CATGGAGCCAATATTGAAACCCAAGCAGGACTCTATATCCTACTCTATACTGGTTGTAGGAACTGGCCCATAAATTATAAAACTGAAAATTCCCAGGGCATTATAGTATTTGTTAAAGCCATATTGATTTTTTTTCTGCTTTTTCATTTTAAAGCTACATCTTTACTTTCTAATGTTTATGCTTCTTGAAATCCATTTTATTCTTTGACCTGATAACCTTAAAGAACCCTTTCAAAACAACTTTAAAATTTATGCTATTGTATCAAAATTATACTGTAAATTCAATGCTTAGTTTTCTTTCCGCATAAGGACGGTGTCGGCTGGGCATGGTGGCACGTACCTGTAATCCCAGCTATTCAGGAGACTGAGGCAGTAGGACCACGTAAGCCCAGGAGTTTTGAGACCAGCCTGGGCAGCATAGCAAAACCTCTTCTCAAAAAAGATCTGTGTCTACCTAAGTACCTAAGTTTAGCCTTGGTGATACTAATTCCTGTTGGTGTTGTATACTTGTAAGACAAATAACCCTTGCCAACAGTAATGGAATTCTTTTTCTTTCCTGTTTCTGCAAAAATAAAATTAGGTTTTATAATTGATCTTTAAAAACAAGTATATATCGTTGGTTATAAAATAGAGATTCACTTTTCTCTAGCCCCAGTTAAAATTCATTTCTCTTTTTCTTTTGAATTTTTTACACATTTATATATTATTTCCAGCTGTTTTCTTTAGGCTTCTAGAAATTTAGTATTTCTTAGCTACTATTAACTGCAGGATGGAAATTCTCTGTTAAATTACAATTTGGTGTTTAATATGGTAAATTTTAGGTGTCTTTAATATGTAAGCAATATGCAGAGATAATATTTAAGTGATAATAACTATCATTTGTTCAATTTTATGCCAAGGAGGTATATTTATTAGAAAAGAAAATTTTCCTTAATACTTAACATTTGCATTCTCAAGAAGGATGATTAAAGCTTGTTTACTTTTAAATTATAATACATGCCAGATTTAGATTATTACAGAAAATAATAATACAATTGATCTCATAATACTTACTGTACACCATTTATTTTGTTTATTTTGTTATTAAGGGTCCAAAAGGTGAAGCAGTTGGATCCATAACTCAGCCCCTACCTAGCAGTTATTTGATCATACGAGCTACTTCAGAGTCAGATGGTAAATACAGTTTTTGATGGATTGGATCTTGGTCTTCAATTTTAAGGGTTTATTTTATATACCACTGTATATTATCCTTGGGAAATCTGTTTTTAGTATGGCATTTGCAGCAGAAGCATTGTAATCATAAATTGCTTAGAACACTAAATATGTTATTAATAAGGTAGACATATAGGGAAATCTGATAGGAAGAAACTATTATATGACTGAGTGATGAGTTAGCAGCTCAGAGTTTTCTTCTTTATCTTCCACTGACATATTAACTTACTTGTTAGCGGTCTTTGTGGTAACTCATTTTTATCATTTTAGAGATAAATTTAATACTATTAATATTTATATTTCATTATTAAATATTAACATTT